CAAAACAGCATGAAATAGTTGGAGAAGGAAAGCAAAACAACATGACATAGTTGGAGAAGGAGAAGAAAATTACATTTGAGAAGAAGAAAATCACATTTGCCGCTATTTTGAAAATTACATTTCAAAACAGGGTTCCAAGTCCGTCGGAGAAGGAGAAGCCACTTACTAGAGGGTCTTACCGCTTGCCGCTGGATATGGTTGAATGATTCACCTGGTTACCACCGGATATGGTTGAATGATTCGGTGAGGATGCCGCCGGTTTCTGTGTTCTCGAACTCGGTTTCTATGATCTCGTCCCGCCCAGTTTCCACCCGGTTCAACCGATTAATGGTTACTTAAGCTAACGGCGATGGAGGTTTCGCGCATGACTCGAAGGGGAGACGTGCACGCCTCCTATTGGAGGGTTCACGCGCCCGGTTCACAGAATCTCGCCTCATTGGAGAGCTCCAAAAACGGCATCATGTGCCCAAAAAGCTAACCATAGGAACATTACTACGTGAAGATTATTATTGTTAGCCATGGAAGAGAGAGACGCCATGTCCACCGCACAATACCAAACCAGCCGCCATTGTCTGATATTGGGTCACTACACCTGGCTGCGCTAGTACATTTGCCTCCCCGCGCCATCGTAGGCGATCTACGTATAACCTGCGTCCAACCCCACCTTCTGCATACGCCCCTACCTTCGCTTGTGCCGCTATTGCAGGTGCTGCGGCCGCTGGTGCACCCACACTGTAGACGGGTGGTGGTGCTTTCCTATAAACCTCTGGAACCACTCTTGGCATCGTGTAGTAATTTTGGCCTATTAGACATGTTATTGAGCGCCCAGTTGGTGCATGATACACGCTACCCAGTGTGGGAATTAGATACACTGGCTGTTCCGCCCCCGTTATTGTCGCTGCAGCAGGCAGGTAACCCCCAGTTGCCATGTGTCTATCTGGCCAATACGCTGCCGGAAGGGATACCGTCACATGATATTCATAACAGATTGTTTCATTTTAAAGTTCGGAAATCAAAAAGTACAGGGTAATGATCAGGAATTTTTCCAAAAAACCCAAAAGCCCCTATTCCCGCTCACCCTTCTCTCTCGACTTCCAGGCACTCCTGTTCAGCGCCCTTCCATCTCCACTTCCTTTTCTGGCGCCGGCATTCGTTCTGACATCACCGGCGACCACCAACACGATTGAATAGGTTCAGTTTTTTCTTCTTTCCTCTTTTGTCGAATACATCACCGGCGAACATGAAGGTTTTTTTGCTCTCAAACATTACGAACAGAACACATAGTCCAAGTGCAAGTGCAGTGATCTGTTATTTCGATTGTGCATTTAGTAGGTCAATTTAATTATTTCTACCCCTTACCAATTTTCATCACAATTACAAGGTAATTTTACAAATTTCCAATCATGAGCCATTGAGATTTTCTTAGAGAGAGACGTTTTGTATTCTAGAACTTTTCCATATGCATTTTGTATTCCGAAGCTTGAAGCCGTGAAATTTCCCTTCTAAAATGAAACATAGTAGAGAGATCCATCAAGAAGACTCCTTACTTTTAGATAAAAAGAAGAGTGCAGAAGAAGGTGAACATTCTTCCACATAGGAGACACATACAAGACCTATTGTAGGTACCAATGGATGGTGTCTCATTGGCCTTGGTTAGTCAATATGGGTGCTAGAAGCTAGAACATAAGCATGACCCCTGCGAGTAGTTGGAGCACAAGCAGTTGAGCGGTCGAACCATTTGACCCAGGAACTAGGAGGGGTGTCAATCGGCCGGTTTTGGTTTGGATCCAATTCGATCCAAATCTTATTAAATCGGATTTGGACGGTCCATTATAATTATTGGATTGGGTCAATCTAAAATAAATTGGTCCATATTCTTATTGGTTTGAATTAGACCTAAACCAAATTTCCAATAATCCAATCATGAGGCAAAATCCTTGTCAAATTTGAATTCAATCAAAACTGAAAACAACATAAAATCACTTTTACAAAAGTACTTTTCACGAAAACACTTTTACAAAAAAAAAATTACAAAAGCACTTTTATAGAAATACTTTTATAAAAGCACTTTTACGAAAGCACTTTTAGAAAATCACTTTTATGAAAGAACTTTTACGAAAGCACTTGTACAAAAGTACTTTTATGAAAGCACTTTTATAAAACACTTTTGCGAAAGTATTTTTATAAAAGTAGTTTTACGAAATCACTTTTACGAAAGTACTTTTATAAAAGTACTTTTACAAAAACACTTCTACAAAAGTACTTTTATAAAAGTCTATGGAAGTACTTTTCGAAAAGTGCCGAAGTACTTTCAATAAAGTGCTTTTGTAAAAGCACTTTTATGAATATGTTTTTATCAAAGTACTTTTACAAAAGTGCTCTTTCAATGCTAAAAGTGCTTTTATATAATTTTTTATATTTCTTTCGGTTTGGATTGCATCCAATCCAATCCATTTGCATTTTAATAGATTGGATTGGATTTGGTTTGTATTGGATTTGGACAGGATTGGGTCCAGTCCATTTATAAGTGGATTCACGTTTGACTGGATTAGGTTGGACCAAATCCATCCAATTGACACCTACGGAAACTAGTAAGTGTTCCATTTTATATTTGGCCTAAAATTTTTCCCGAACCACTAAATTGTTTGATCTGGTAAATGGCTTTTGAATTATTTTTTAATTTTAATTACATATATTCAAAATGTAATGGGTTGATCTATTTGGATCGGATGATCGAACCATTGACCCAAAAACCAATAGCTAAAGTGGTTCCATTTTGGGTTGGTTTTAAACCTTGTTTATTTAATCAATTAATTAACTTTGTTTCCTTAATTAATTTGATTCACTTATTTAATTGCTTAATTTACTTAATTATCTTAAGTAGTAATTTATTTGTTTTCCTTGATTAACTTAATTAAGTAAATTAAATGCTTAATTATATAGTTTAGGGTCTTTTAATTAGACCCTAAAGTAATTTACTTAATTAACTTTATTAAAGTGACCTATTTTCGAATTTGGGGCTCTAAAGTGACATTTTCAAACTTTAGTAATGCTTTTATTATTTTATTCATTGTCTAACGGATCCCTCGATGTTATTTCAAATGTTGTGTATTTTTGTCTACAAATTGCCTTTTTTTCACCAATGTTTGGGGGGGTCAAAAATGGTATTTTCTAATTCTTTAAGGTCGAAATTGGCCTTTTACAAAGTTCAAGGGTTGTCAAAGCTAATAATCCATCATTGGACCAAGATCTTTTGAATAGTGTTTTCAACCCATCATTGGACCAAGGATTCAATTATAGTAAAACCTATAAATTGGTAAAAGAACATTGACTTAGTCAAAACCAGGGATGCAAGTGGATCGAATCATGGTCCGATATGATCCGAGATCCAATCCTATTTGATTGAATTTGAATCATCCTTGCTTAGATCTTCAAATTGGATCGGATAATATGATCTGATAAGAAATCAAATCGGATTCGGATCACCCTTGTTCGATCTCTAAAGATTCGATCCAATGTATGTTATATATTTATTTATATAAATATATATAATACACATATATGTTATTTATTTGTTTATAAATATATTATTTATATTGTATTTTTATAAATTTGTTATATTATTTATTTTTTATAAAAGCATGTATACATATGTTGAAAATAATTAAAAATATTTGTACTTTTTTTCTTTATTTAAGTTGGTATATTTTATTTTTCTTTTAATAATGTATTTTTAAAGAAAACAAGTCGGATTGGATCAGACCCGAAGATCTGACTTACTGATAGGATTCGAATTCAACTTGAGGCCTATCAGATCCGATCAGTTTTTTTGATCGGATCGGATCTGACATGAACAGTGTCAGACTGGATTCGGATATACCCTGATTCAAATCCGATCCGATTCGGTTGCATTTCTAGTCAAAACATCCAACTTGGGCGATTAGATCATTGACCCGTTTGATCTAGTGACCGGGTCAGGTTGCACACTAATGTGTATGAAAACTTTCGAAGGCCATAACTTTGTGAAACCCATGTCACAAACTCGTGTAATGCATTAGGCCCCACTATTTAATTGTTATTATTGGTAAAAACTATAATTTCAAATCCATTTAAATTCAATATAAAAAAATTAATAAAAATTTGAAATTAACAAATTTGTATATCTTAGTAAAATTAATGAAAATAATAAAATATAGTAAAATTTAATATCCATTCAAAATTAAAATAATGCAATTTTTAGTTCTAATTTTTCATTGATGTATGACATTTAAAAAATGATAAAATAAAAAATTAATAAAATTATGTTTAGGTTGGACCAAACCCGATTGGCTTACTTGGGAATGTTATAAGGTTCTTTTTACTTAAATTCACATAACAAAATCCTTATGAAAAATAAAATAACTGTAATGAAAGTAGCCCTTTTTTCTTTCTTTTTTATTTATTTTTGGCTCAGCTACACATTATAAAAATCCGTGCTTCAATTTCCCCTTCTTTCTCTCTTTTCTTGTTTTTTTTTTGGCTCAGCTACACAATAGGGGTAGGGTAGCCCATAACAACCCCTCCCCAAACGGGTAGTACATCCCCAAAGTCCAAACCCATAACACCCTCAACCTGGTGTAGCGGGATTTTGATCCCAATTCCCAAGTCTAGGCTACAATTAGGGCTGTTAATAGGTCGGATTTTCCTGATGGATTCAAGTTCAACCGATTATGATAGTTATAAACTTATAATTCCATGATTTTGTCCTGACTAATAATTGGGTCAACTCTAGTTTTTGTCTGTTCTGAATCGATTAAGACATAGAACAATTATTTTATTAAATATATAAGATTTTTTTTTCTTATAATTCTATCATATTTTATATTCGAAATAATAAATTTAAATAATATATAAGTAATATTAATTAAAAATGTTTAATTTGTTAATATATTAATTAAAAATGTTTAATAATCGATTTGAGATTGGTTTGGACCCGACCCAGACCAAATCCATTGACAGCCCTACCTACAACCAGCCGTAACACGCCCCCGACGGAGGTCTCTCTTTCTCGAGCTTCTTGCATTACAAATGAAGTCGCCTTGCGGCTTGCTCTAAGCCTCTAACCTCCAAGGAAATCGTTGGGCGACGACAGTAGGTAAGTCATGTTGCAGCCACCGAACTCCATTGTGAAACTCGTTTCAATACCAGGTAAAGGCCGCGGCATGGTCTCCACGCAGCCCATAAAACCAGGTCAAGTACTCCTCCGAGACTCTCCGGTCCTCCTGTACTCCGCCACCCCCTCCCTCTGCAAATTTTGCTCCCATTGCTTCCGCCTCCTTCCACAGTCCCCCTTCCCTTGTCCCACCTGTTCCCACTGCGCTCTCTTCTGTTCCTCTTCCTGTCTCTCCCTCGCCCTCTCCTCCTCCCACTCACCATGGTCCTGCCACTCCCTCATTTCCCTTTCACTCTCTCCCCCCCTTCCGCCTGACCTCCACACTCAAGCCTTCTTCCTCATCGCTGCCTACAATCTTTCCCTTCTATCTGCTCCCGACTTCCATGCCTTACTCTCCCTTCACGGAGACCCTCCCGAGTCTCTGGACGCCCCAACTCTCTTCCTCCATTCCTTGATATCTTCTTTTGGTCCTCCCCCGGGCCTTACCGGGTTCTCACCCGAGATGACGGCGGCTCTGCTGGCCAAGGACAAAGCGAACGCGTTTGGGTTAATGGAACCGTTTAAGGAAACTGGGGAGCGGGCCGTGAGGGCGTACGGTATTTATCCGAATGCGTCGTTCTTTAACCACGATTGCCTGCCGAACGCTTGTAGATTTGACTATGTGGATGGTGTTGGAGATGGCAATACTGACATTATTGTGAGGGCGGTTCATGAAGTTCCGGAGGGGAGGGAGATTTGTTTGAGCTATTTTCCGGTGAATTGGAGGTATAAAGAGAGACAGACTAGGTTGAGGGAGGACTACGGGTTTGAATGCGGGTGTGATCGGTGTAGGGTGGAGGTGAGTTGGTCAGATGACGAGGAGGATGGGATTGGGGAGGAGGAGATGACGGAGGAGGATGGGGAGGAGCAAATGGAAGGTGTTGAGGATGAGGATGGCGATGGAGAGGGCAGTGAAGTTGAATTTCCTCATGCTTATTTCTTTCTGAGGTATGTGTGTGATCGAGATAACTGCGGGGGGACGTTGGCACCATTACCACCTTCGGAGGAAGGGGTTGTGTCTGGTGTTATGGAGTGCAATGCTTGTGGGCGGTTGAGGGAGGAGGAATCGGTTGGTAGAGAGGGATGTTAAGAAGTTATGGATGATTGAGTCCTGCCGCAGAAAGTGTAAGCATTGTTTTGTTTCCATTTCTTCTGCCATGTTTTCATATTGCATCACGTTGTGATTATTTTATTGCTTTTTGATTGTTATGTTCTTTTCAACAGTGTTTAGGAAACCGGACCAGACTGGCCTGTTGGACTGGTTGAACTGTGATTGGGCCCTAGCCAGTTCGGTCACACCCCAATAACCGCAATTGCTAAAAACCCAGTGAAAACTGGCTGATCAGCTGTTTTAACTGGAAAATCGGTGAACTGGTCCCGGTTTCATGAAACCGCACAGGTCATTAAATAATTAAATTTTTAGTATCACTTAATTACCACTATTCCACATCTTTGCTTGTGTTAATTAATGACTCTTTATCGTATTTAGTACTTTATTACACAATACACACATATGTTAAAGAAAATGTAAATTAAGAGACTTGAACCTTGGTCATTTGCTTTAAAAATTAAGGAACTTGCCATCCATCTACCATATTTAAGTATAGTAAAAGTTGTAAAATATATTATATGTAGTATTTATATGACCTATAGTATATATACATATATGCCATGTCATCATTGTTCAACCTTCGGTTTGACCTTGGTTAAACCTTTGATTGGTGAACCTCTCTCTTTTCCAGTTCTATGCCCGGTCCAATTCTTTCAAGTTTGAACATTGCTTTTCAATTAAAATTAATGAATAAGTTTTCTTTGTTGCTGATAACAAACTAGTACTAAGACCTTTGGCTTCTCTACTTCAATTTGTGGTGATGTACTCACCATATTGACGACCATAATTGTTTTATAATCGTTACCTAACATCATCCAAGTCCACTAATAATTGGGTAGATCTAAAGCATCAGGGCTGGATTGTTTCACAATGACTTTTTATCAAGATTGTTGGGGGATAATCAAATCTGACTTGTTGTTAGTTTTCAAGGGGTTTGCTGAGGAACACTTAATTAGCCTAGGGATTAATTCTATTTTCCTAGCATTGATACCCAGAAAAAGAGATGCCATTTAACTGAGAGAACCCATTAGTTTGGTGACTAGCATCTATAAAATCATGGCCAAAGTGTTGTCATTAATATTAAGATGAGCCCTCCCTAAGTTAGTGACTCAATTCCAAGGGCTTTTATTCAAGGGAGACAGATTTTTGATTAAATTCTAATAGCTAATTGGTGTGTGGAGGATTTTAAGAGAAGAAGAAAAAAGGTCTTTGTGTGTACGTTGCGTTTGGAGAAAGCTTATTTTTTTTTGATCAATAACACCAATTTCATTAAATTAAGAGAATAGAGGGAAAGGAATACAAAGGGAGATAAAATAACTTAGCT